GTCAATAAAATCAGCAGCCAGTCAATAAAAACAGGTTTGGTTCTGTTCTAGACAGCACTACATGGATTCAGGAACACTTGCAGAAATTAGTGTCTTTAAACACAGTTCACCGTACCGTCAACTAATGCTGATTAAAGCTCTATCATGCAAAGAAGAAACCACATGTAAACAATCGTCTTGCATAAAATGAATTGAGGTAACGTGGACATTTTCTAAAAACAAGTTCCTTGCTCTGCTTCTGTTTGCTCATTTCTTTAAAAAAAAGGTTGGGATTTTTTTTTAATAATTATGGTATAACTTCGTTTTTTGCCATTTTAAACAAATAATGCTATAGTTAGGAATAGTTATGTGAGGGTGTTGTAGTGTCAGCATAGCTCAAAACATTGACAAACAACAACAACAACAACAAATCCAGCATGGGGGGGATACATGTCCACACCTTTGGTAATCTTGTAATCTCGTTGTGAAAGTCTGTCAGTGAAGACTCAGCAGGCTTGTAAACAGATCGCTGTGTGACTGTTTGGTTTATAATAAACTTCTTATGATGATTAAGAAGTAAACAAGCAGCCTGTTCAGTCATCCAGTCTGTTGCTCTGTATCATCACTGTGTCATGAAATGAGCACAAATTGAGCCCAGTGCTGCCAGAACAGACGGAACTCCACTGTAAGACGAAAGAAAACAAGTAATATGTTGAGTTTCAGCTTTTATAATCTGTACTAGTTTGTTTAGTTTAGCCTTATTCCACCATGCCAGCTGTGTGATGAAGTAGGAAGCACAAGACTGACTAACTGTGTCTGTAAATTCAGAAAGTTCTTATTTTCAGTCAGGTAATCCCTGTTTCCTGGTACAGTGCATGCACAGTATTTGGTTTCTTTCTTTATTTTTGTTTTTTGAAGTAGGAAACCAAGCRTCTTTCATGACTTTCATTGTTAACCCAGGGGAACATAGATACTGGGAAACATACTGTAGGTACCAGGGAACATAGGTATTACAGAACATAGAAACTGGGGAAAATAGGTACTACAGAATATAGGAAACATAGGTTAAGGTCCAGGATGATGATTTTATCTGCATATTTCACAAGCTGGTATAGTTAAGCTCATTGGTGTACAAAGCCAACAGATGTGGGGTGAGTACACATCCCTGTGGTGCCCCCAGGTTGGCGCTGATACAGGTGAGTACCACACCTCACCTGTTGGTGGTCTGTAATTAGATCACACATGGCAAGATGGACCTATAGTTGAATGGAGTGAACTCTACCAATGTTTTCAAAAAGAAGAGTGGTCAAATATCAGCCAGAATTCATCCAGAAGCTTGTTGATGGCTACAACAAACTTTGTGTGTTCTTGTTTGAGCCTGAGTTCTGACATTACAGAGTTTGAACAAAACTGTGAAGTATACCAGCCTACCTCTAATGAAACACTGCAGACTCATGGAGTGTGGAAGGGCGTTGTCAGATATGATCTGATGGAAAAGTGAAACCTTTCACTCCTGTGTGAGATTGACATGGTACACAGAGCTCCAGGGCGGGTCCAGACCAAGGGAGGGAACCTGTTTCCTGTTTCCAGTGTTTATCTTGAAATCAAACAGTGCAACCCTCAAACAGGCAAACATAAAAAACAAGTCCACTTCATGATTTGACGTCACTTTGAGCTACTTACCTGCTGAGTGTTTTCAGTCACATTGTATTTGAGTTTACTCTCCTGCTGGAGGATCAGACAGTAAACAGACAGCCTCCAGTTTGACTCATGAGGAGAAGCTCACGGTCTCTGACCACACTGGTGTCCTGTGGCTGCAAAACAAGCCCAGATCATCAGCCCGCCGCTGTTGTGCCTGACACCTGGTGCAATGTGTTTAATTTGATGTGAATGTGATTAAAGCACAAACGTCTTTAATTTGGTCGATGTGATTTGTTCAGAAGACATTATTAAACCTAAAAAACAGCGAGTACAATAAGTATTGAACACATCACCATTTTTCTCAGTAAATATATTACTAGAGGTGCTAATGACATGAAATTTTCACCAGATGT